AAACACTAATCTCATTATAATTGTCTTGGTTTTGGCTCCTAGAAGCAATACCATGCTGCAAGGCTTGACCACAATCACGACCACTGGCTGATGAGAATTCTGTATTCATGTTCCTTGAGATTTTATTAGATCTCAGAATATTTTGTATCCAGTTCTGGTAGTCTTTCATTCTGCACATGTAGAGAATTGGGTTGCAAGTTGCGTTCAGTGCTACAAATATCACCTTGCTTATCGGGAATGAGTAGTAATACATGAAATACCTCTTGTAGATTCCTGCAATAAAATTATAGTTGAAATTACAGCTGAATGTTGTAAACTGTAAAGCATACATAATTTATCAAACGTCTTTAAAGCATTTACCACTAATTATCACATACTATATTTTCATCAGATACCTTTAAATCGTACAGAATAAAATATGATGGGCAGCCAAACACTTTAAAACACACATTGAACTATGTCTGCATTTCCACTTATGGGATCTCCTTCTAATAAAGCAATTTAACTGATCAAATATCTACCTGGCGGATACTTTGGGTACATCACATACACTGATATAGCGTGGATCAGCTTGTTGAAAAAGAAAGGTAAATTGCAGAGCAGGAATATGAGTGTAAAGAGAGCAATTGTAATAGATGCTCGGTGTATCTTTTCCATGGATCCAGCCTTTTTACCTCCATAGAGTTTTCGAATTGAAACAATAAAGGATAGAAAAGTGATCAGTGATGCAGCACCAATTTTAAGGCCTTCCAAAGCTTTGTAGATTGTGCGAACATGTTGCAAAAAAGAATTCACCCAGCAAAATGGTTGGTCAGTACTGAATCCATACATATCCCTCACAGATTTATGAGTACCTATCACTCTCTCTAGCAAACTTTCAGCTGGGAATAGTATCAGTGCAATCAAAACTGCATTTTTATTGATTTTGTATTGTGGTTTGATGATAGTCATTGTCCTAGTTACACTAATCATCATCACAAGAAAGATAGAATATTGAGAGATCATTTCAAAGGCAATAGCCCAGAATTTGCAGAAATATATGTCTCCAAACCATCCAGGATTTCTTCCTTCAAAGAGAACTTTTGCACATGCAATGATCAGCAAGCTTGTAATGCTGTCTATCAAAGAAACAACTGAATAAAGTTTTAAAGACACATTTGTTGTGGCTCTTTTTACAAAGTAGATAAAAGAGATTACATTTGCTGGGAGTCCAAACATAGTGCTCAAAACTAGAACAACGCCAAGGAACTTGTCAAGGGTCTCCGAAGGTCCAACTTCTAAGGCGTCCCCTGTATACACCTCATGGTTGTCCCAAGTAGACCATTCTGAACTCACGTTTGCCATCAGAGCTTAAGATGCTATATATTTAATATTCTGTTGTACATTATTGTGGTAAATTAGATACAAATTAAAGATGAAATGACTTGAAAATAGTTAATTTCCAGTTACTTGTAACCTTTAAGTGACATTGGAAATAACTATTCAATCATCATTTAGTAACAATTCAATAGAAAAGTGACAATAACAAGACGTAGACCAAATTCTAACTGTTAATACTTTAATAGAAGTACAGAAAAGCAAACAAAACAATTCACTGGCACATAGGAATTGTTCTAATAGTGCTTATAGAAACAAATAACAAAACACTGTATTGTATACACATTACACAAGGAGTGGTTTCCTTGTACATTTCCACTTTAATACTGTGCAATTAACAGGATTTATCATGGTATAATATCAACATTGCAAATTAACAGATAAGCTACACATCCTAAATGGTACTAAAGGGGATACATCCAACCCAAAAAAAACCCATTTTACCTCAAATTTCAATCTTGGGAATGGGTTTGAGGTTTTTTAAATTTTTTTTGGGTTTTTTAAATTTTAAAATTTTTAAAAAAACTTTTTATCTAATTCGACTACATTGAAAACAAAACCCCTTCTAAATAGTGGGTTAAATTTGCCCATTTTCCAATGTTTAATGAGCTGTTTAAAGCAATTTCTGGGTAGGTATCTTATTTTATATACCAATACACAGTTAGTACCGTGATTTCTCAACATTTAGAACCGCAAAAGCCGGCTAAAGGGGGTGGGTGTCCTTAATATTATCCGAAAAGCAGTTGGTACCGTGAAAGGGGTGGGTGGGTCCTTTTTGTAAATTCCAATACTGCACTTAGTCAACGTCACATACGGCACTAAGTACCTGATCCCCCCCCCCCCCCGCCACATTCCCCAATATCACTATTCTCCTATCAGCACAAACCGTAATTGATTTTAACAATCACAACACTATATATCCAAACTAATGGCATAGCAATATCTACGATATCCTAACTCAGTCCCAAACAAACTAAGCGTGACTCTTAAAAGATTTTGGAAGCCCAGTGTGTTTTATCTTTTGTTTAAATCAATAAATCATCCTTTTCATTTTTTATTTATCAATTGTGTGCAAATATTATTTTTAAGATTTTATCTATTTATGTTATAATATATTATTTTTATGTAATAAAGTTATTATATTCGTAAACATTGACTGGCTAATAAAGCAGTCCCCAAACAAACCTTCTTCTTTCTTGTGATCGAAATTGTTCTGAAGTACTCAAATTATGACGTTCATGAACTTTCAATAGGAAACACACGTTGTATTACCACAAACTGGTTGCTCTAAGAAATTCAAGACCTTTAACAACTAATAATTATTATACAGTTATTGTTCACTTTCAAGTGGTTTTAGTTCAAAGCATTCTCCCTCAGATACAAGACCACCGCTTGTATTCAATGTGCTTCTTACCGAAATTGTCCTTATATTTGACCGTAGGATGATCTCTTTGACCCAGATCTGAAAGTCAGTCATTCTGCAAATGTAGAGAATCGGATTGCAGGCTGCATTCAGGGCTATGAATACCACTTTGCTCAGTGGGAATGCGTAGTAGTACATGAAGTATTTGCTGTAGATACCTGAAAGGATTTTGTAATTTAGGACAAGTTAGTTGACAAAATTGCAAATAAAGCCAATATTGGTTACATTTGTTGACATAGTTTAGTGAAAGGCCGCTTCTATCTTAAGATCTTACTTGATCAATAGAAAAGATTATCTTAATGGTGCTATTTAAAGCCTTCGAAAAAAATTGTTTTACCTGGTGGGTAGTCTGGGAAGGTCAAATGGACTGATATGCCATTTATGAACAAGTTGAAAAAGTATGGCAAGTTGCAAACCAAGAATATCATTGTGAATATAGCAATGGTGACCGATGCTCTGCGAATCTTCTCCATAGAGCCTGTTTTTTTGCTTCTCCCAAGCTTTCTGGTCGACACAGCAAATGCTACAAAGATAGCAACCGATGCCAGCCCCACTTTAACAGCAATCAATATCTGATGGACAATATGACCGTAGTGCAGCTGTGAGGTGACCCAGCATAATGGATCATCAATACTGTAACCGTAGGTATCTCTCACACCATCATGGGTACCTACAACTCGCTCCACCAGATACTCTACTGGGTAAAGTATCAGAGCTACCAATACTAATTTTGTGTTGATTCTGTAGTGGGGCTTCACGATTGTGATGGCTCTGGTGACACTTATCACTGCCACCAAGAAGATGGAATACTGAGAGACTATTTCATAGGCGATAGCCCAGAATTTACAGAAATGGATATTCCGAAACCATCCAGGGTCCCTTTCCTCAAAGAGAACTTTTGCAAATGCAATGATTAGAAGACAAGTAATGCTGTCTGTGAGAGATATCACCGAGTAAAGGTTAAGGGAGATGTTAGTTGTCTTTCTCTTTGTAAAGTGGATGAAAGCTATTATATTTGCTGGTAGCCCAATTAGAGAACACAAAACGATCATAATCCCAAGGAACTTGTCAAAAGCCTTGGAAGGTCCAACTTCTAAGGCATCCCACGTATACACCACATGGTTGTCCCAAGTTGACCACTCTGAAGTCTCGTTAACCATCAGATTAGTTTATGCTGTTTCATCATTTTGCTTCTATCAACATGACAAATCAAATAACGAATTGTAATTTATTATAGGTAACTTGTTACTGACCGTATAGTTCATAATAGCCGGATACATTATTGCAAGTAGGTGATCAATCGTAATTTCGATGAGAATTTCTGTAATAATTATATATCACCATTACACAGCCACTGTAGAATCATAGCTTACATGAGACAAATCTAAATATTGAACTAAGCTAACAACTTGACATCGGTTATGACCAAGAAAATTACAGTTCTGCAATGGCACTAAAGAGTTGCAATTACATGTGTACAAACAAGTAATGGTTTCCTAGTTTATGTATTGCACGTATGTTAGCATGTTCAAAAGATCAACGATATAGTGTACAAGCAATATATGATACACTATATCGTTGATCTATTGCACATGTATGATGTATAATGATGACATGTATCAACGCTGGAAAATCAGAGACGTAGCTAGGCTGTGACTAAAGCAGGTAATACCTGTTTCATAAAACAGATAGATTTAATAATGGACTATGAGCTATAGTAACTGTTTGTTGATACGATAAACTCAGCTGCACACTATGGAATATATATTAAACCTCATAGAATTTGAAATATGTGCACAGCTACACGACTATACGTGTCCAATCATTGTCCCAATAACAAAGAGACAGAGAGTTATTAATGACTGACTGTCTCCTCAACGTCTTGTTTGAACGGGATTAATTACCTCATAATTATCTCAGAAAGTTACATATTGAACTTTTAAGTAATTTGAATGATGTTTATGGTAATATAATTAATGAACAAAGTTCACTTTATGAGCTCATGAACTGAGGTAAATGTTCAAGTCTTACTCGACAGATAAACAACTATTCCAGTGGGTAGCACTATTGTTCACTTTCAGAGACCTGAACAAATGCCATGCGTGTACTAATTATATTAATAGGATCATTGATTGATATAATTAAATTGTATAATTATTCTGTGACATTAAATTTAATCTTTCCATTACTCCATAGCAATTAATCATGTCTGAGGAAGCACCTCCATCGAGACGAGGTGACCCCGCTGTTGACATCAAGGGAGCTGCGTTTCTGCCCTACATGATCATGGAAGATATTGTGGAGAAGTTGAAACTGTTGAACTACGAGGAGGAATTTGTCGCACGACATGGACAAAGACCCATTTCAAG